CCATCTCGTCCTGCTTCTTCGTCGCTCTGTCTCTCTCGCACCTAAAGGGCCTCCCTGAGGGTGCGAGAGAGACAGAGGGGCTAAAGCGGCTCTCGGAATCAGTCTGATGCAGCACTGCCGCACCGCTGCGCTGCCCCGAAGCGTGCTGCCATACGCTGCACTGCGGGGCTGCGGGGGCGTGGCCCTTGGCGTGGCCCGGCTTTTGACATCCGACCCTTGCGGCCTTGCGGTCGCCCGGCCAGCTTCGCTACGCGCGTCCCTGCGACCGCGGCGTGGGTGTGGCGTCCGCTCGGCTTGCAATCGACAACGCACCGTGGGCCAGAAGACCGCGGTGCCGGAGGCCAAAACTCTACGCGCGTTTTGAGCTCCAGAGTCGCTAACCAGGACTCGGACTGAGTGTGTGACCCCACCACCACTGGGTTCCTCGTTCGGAGAGCAATCCATTGGTGGGGTCACACGTTCGGTTCAAGTTCCACTTAGCGGCTCTGGAGCACAAAACGCGTCCGTGATTATGACCGCCTCCATTGGTGTTCTGGCCCGCTATGCCACTGTAACGGCCTGCTCGAGGTGCACGTCGTCGCCCTGGCGTCGCCCTGGCGCCGGTGTCGTGGGTGTGGCGAGGCGTGGCGGCGTCGCCGTGCAAGGACAGTGTGGAAACACGACGAGCTCTATTCAGGCCGGCTGCACTAGGCCCCGGCGCGGCGGCCCGGCGGGCCTCAGCGTGCAACCTGACCTCGAATGCAATCAGATCAGGTTGCACCGCCGGCGAGCGCCGAGCGTCGCGCGGGGCCGCGCCCGTCATGTCCTTGCGGCCGCCTTGCGGGGAGCGCCGGCTGACGTGCGCGCGGCGGCAGGCGGGGCACCCGGCCGGGGTGGCGCTCTCGTCGGAGGACAGGGAAGTGGCCACGCCGACATTGATTTGCACGGCCTCCCCGCCGTGGGCGAAGCCCGTGGGCGAGGCCCGTGGGCGAGGCCGCCACCGCCGAGGGCTCGGGGCTCGCGGTGAGTCCGAGGCCTTCCGGTGCGGCCGGCGGGTGGCGGGTGGGGCCTCTGATGTGGGCGGGGGCCACACCGCGCAACTCGAGATGGAACAACTTTTCTGCCTTCGTTCCGGAGTGCGTTTCACCGTGTCAAGGAGGAGGAAAGGGGGACGCCTTACACCCCTGCCCTGCCCCACCTCGCTCCACCCCGCTCCACCCCGCCGCGGCCACAGGTGTAGAGTGTCCGCCTCTCGAGTTTCACCGTGGAGTTTCAGGCTCGCGGTGCTGCACGTGTGGGGACCGCGCCGTGCCGCGCCGTGCCGTGCCGCGCCGGGACACGTGTCGCGTGTGCCCGTGTGCGTCCGCCAGTGTGCGTCCTCCAGTGTGCGTCCGCCAGTGTGCGTCCGCCAGTCCGCCTCCTCGCGAATCCGCCGCCAGCACGGCCAGCGCGGCGCGGCCATCCCAGGCCAGCCCCGCAGCGCGGCGGCGCAGCAGCCAGACGTCTGGCAAACTTAATGAGCAAAGTTGACCGCGTCTCAACACGGCAGCAGAGCGGCAGCTGGCTTGCCGGCTCGGCGGACTCGGCCGTCGTCGTCGGCGTGCTTTTGGACACACCCTGTGGCCGTCGGGGCGTCGGGGCCGCGGCGCGCGCCCTCACCGAGGCCTCCGCCGCGTACGGCCCTGCGGCCCGGACGGACACGACGGCTACAAAGTGCCCCCCACCCCGCCTCGCCCCCGCCTCGCCGCCTCGCCCCCGCCTCGCCTTGTGGTCGTGGCCTGCACTGCGACACAGCTCGTTACTCCCCGCAGATGAGATGCGGCGCAGGAAGGGAATGGGAAGAGAGAGAGAGAGAGAGAGAGAGAGAGAGAGAGAGAGACGAAAAATAAAAAGGAGGGCCCAGGTAAGGCAGACGTGGCAAAAGGTGTGTGATTCAGCACGTCCCGCGGCCGCAAAGTTTTCAGACGCGACTTCGCGGGCGAGGAATTTCGAGGCGTGCTGTTTCCCCCTGCGGGTTTCCGTTCCTGGAATTCCATTCGAACGTCTGGAAAGCCCGTGGATGCTCCTGAAAGGGCCTCGAAAGCGGCGCAGAACGCCCCATCAGGGTGCGGCAGGATGCGCGCGATCCTCAAAGATCTGGCGCGCGCCAGGGATCTGGAAGGCTCTGGCGCGGCTAGGCGGCCCGGACCCCGGCCCCCCGGCCCGGCCCCGCCGCTAGGCGCAGCCGGCACAGCGCATAGTGCTCCGTGACGCGTGACGCGGTGCTGAGTCACGGCGGGCCTAGCCGTCACGCTGGGCTGAGGACAGGGCCCCACCTCGCCGCGACCGCCCCGCCCCGCCGCGCCGCGCCCCGCCGCGCCGCGCCCCGCCGCGCCCCGCCACGCCCCGCCACGCCCCGCAGCGTTGCGCCCGAGCTTATCACCTGTCAGCCCACTCGGGGGTCAAGTCGGGGTGGAGGAACGGATGTTCGCATGGGGGAACCAGGCAGGACCCAAGGCGTTGGCCGTCTGTGCGCGCGAATGCGAACCCTCACCTCACGAAAAAAACAAAACAGACAACAAAATGAACGGAAACGGAAACTTACCGCCGTTTTGTGGTTTTGAACGGAACTGCACGTTGTGAGTTGAGTCTAGAGATATTACGCGAAGGCCGAGTTGTTGTTCAATGCGTACCAACTTTTCTGCTTCGTTGCGTCCATTTGGTTCAACTTTCAAACAACGATAATTTTTTGCAGAGGACACGACGGGGTCCCACACCACCGCTATGTGCGTCCTTCACCTAAAGCCCACAGGGTCATCGAGAATTCATTTTTGTTGACGAAGCGCCATCCATTTTTAACGGGAGCAGCGCTAAACCTAAAAGGGGTCGTCCCGATGCATTCAGGCGCTCCGGCCCCTCCTCTTCCCCGCTCGGGCTCCAAGCACGGCCAGGCTCACAGTGGGCCAGAAGACCGGTGGAGGCGGCCAAAAGTCTAGACGCGTCTTGAGCTCCAGAGTCACTATATGGGACTCGAACCAAACGTGTGACCCCACCAATGGATTGCTCTTCGAACGGGGAATCCATTGGTGGGGTCACACGTTCGATTCGAGCCGTTTAGCGACTCTGGAGCTGAAAACGCGTCAAGAGTTTTGTCCGCCTTCATCGGTCTTCTGGCCCACTGTGAGGCCCCACGCTGCTCGCCGCCTGCGAGGTCGGCAGCCCGTCGTCCCGCTCCACACCGCCGTGCTGCAGGCCTGCCTACCCCGCGCTCCGCAGGCGTTACGTCGCCGTAATCCCCCTTCCCCCTCCCCTTCCCCTTCCCCTTCCCCTTCGCCCTCCCCTTCCCCCTCCCCTTCCCCAACCCCCTCCCCTTTCTCCCGCTTTTCACTCGGACCGGCGGCTACACTCCTTGAACAGGGCCTTATTGAACGCGGCACAAAGACGCCAACGCGCGGGGGAATAATGAAACTGGCGGCGGGGCTACGCCGCTGCCGCTGCAGTGGGTGGGATTAGAAATTATTAGGCCGCCGCGAAGCGTTTTGTTGTCTGGCGGAGCTGATAACGCGCGAACTTAAAACGCGAAAGCCAGACAGGGGCCTCCTGGCGACAGGGGGGAGAGGGGAGGGGCAGACTTTATGATCGACCCATTGGCCGCCGCGCTCACCGCGGCGGCTATGAATCCCATGGTATTGGCACCCAGAAAATAGGAATAAAAGAGGAAGGGCACTGCTGCAAGACGCGCGCATCATCTCATGGCGATGGAGTCCCTCGCCCACCAGGGCCGCCACCCTCGCCAGATCCATCCCATGATATTCCGCAGTTCCACCCCCTGACCCCCGCCGCCCGGCCCGCCGCCCCCGCCGCCGCGGAATCGTCGTGTAAAAAGGAAGGAACGGGGCATAAAGATTGCGGGCCGCAGCACCGCGCCCTTGAGGGTCTTGAGGGCCTAGAGGGCCTTGAGGGGGCGCCGTGGGGCCACACCGCGCCGTGCAGCAGCCGCGCCGCCACCGCCTCGGTGTTGCGTCACCTGGCGCGCTGCACTGCCGCCAAACTTGAGGGATTACATTTGCGTCTCAACTTGGCGGGAGCGCGCTCGATGGGCCTCGCGGGTTGTCTGGCCGGCGGCAGGGGGGCCTTGGAGTGCACCGAGGCGGCTGCAGCACCGCCCCGCCGGCCCCGCCCGCGTGTTAAGGCGATACGCCGTAATCAACATTTGGATGAAACGTCTCGCTCTTCCTTTGTTCTCCCGGCCTATTAGCTTGGCTAGCCATGCGGATATCCGGCGCGCTGCGGGCCGCGCGGGGCCACTGGCCCTCCCAGGGGCCCTCCCAGAGGCCCGCACTCCTCTCGCTGCTGCAGCGCGGTGCAGCGCGCCGCCGCCGCCTCCGCCGAGAAAAAGACCACGAAATCGGAGAGGTGCGATGGCCGCCAGAGGTCGCGCTGACGCTAAACGGACGCAGCGTTGGGCAGCAGTGCAGAGCTCGGCGTCGAGCACGGCGTCGAGCGAGGCGTTAGAGCACAGCGTCGAGCACGGCGTCGAGCACGGAGCACGGCGTCGAGCACGGCGTTAGCGCACGGCGTTGGGGGACGGCATTTGGGGACGGCCCCCGCCGCTAACAGCGCCGTGACACGCCTGGATGGTCGCCGGAGCCGCCACAGCGCTGGGCGTTGAAACCATGACACCAGAAGGAAGCAGTATTCCTAGAAGGCGGAGAGGACAGACAGCCGGCTCGAAAATCAATTTGTGGTGGGCGGTGATTGCCCAGGCAGACCGACTTCTTTTGTGGCTGTTTGGCCTGGCATGGCGACGCTGCCTTGCAGCGGCTCGCCGCGGTGCCTCTTCCATCACGTAAACTCGCCGACAACAGGCGTAAATCTGGGTCTACAATGAAAGGGGGAAAGGCAACGGTTTCCGATATTGTTCCGGAGTCTTATTCCCCAACCCCTTCCCTTTCTCGGTTTCCGAAGAGAAATGAACATCGTAAAATACACCCCGCACGAACATGTCCCTTTTCAATGTTTCCCTCTTGTTTCTGTTGCAGGATTTCAGTGGTGCTACGAGTGAATATCGCATCCGGCCGCGGGATTACCCCAGCACGCCGCCACCAGGGAGCAGTTCGGTGAGACTACGCCGACCCCACGCACTGCAAAAAAAGGGAAAGAAACTCTTCAGCTACAGGTGTCTTGATTAGAAATTGGCAGAATTTGGAGAGTGGTCAAGTTTGCTTTTAGTGTACAATGTCCTGAAAAAGAATGAGGGGCCGATTTGAGTTCTTTGATAATAAAGTTGTCCTGATTTTAAAGGCCGAGTTCCTTTGTCCTCGTCTTTACGCCTTCTAGCTTGTGTGTGTGTGTGTGTGGGGGGGGTGTTTGTATGTGTGTGTGTGTGTGTGTGTGTGTTTTGGCGTTTTGCAACCGCATGCCGCCCGTCGTGCAAACCAGCGAGGCGCGCTAGTCCGATAAAGTTTTCACCGCTAACCGCACGAGACTTCGGACATACGTCTCTCCGACAGTTCATGTCGAGCAAGCGAGCCCGGCCGGTACCGTGTTGTTGCTCTTGTTGATGTTGTTGATGCGTGACAGCGTGTAGTGTAGTGGGTGTGTTTCGTGTTGTATTCGTTGACGTCCCTCTGATGCCTTGGCTTGCCCAGGCTGCTCCAATCTGATGGTGGTTTCCTCTCCTCGCACCACCTCCCGCTCCGTCTCTCTCCTTTCTCTCTCTCTCCCCTTTCTCCCTCTGTCCCGCACGCAGAGGCCTCTCTCCGACGGCTAAGCAGAGCCTTCAGCAGCAGCAGCTTTTTATCAGATACAGGTGAACCAACCGGCAGTATATCACGACGCCAGTCAGCTCAATGGTGGAGTGGATGTCGAATTCCAGGAGCTCTATATGGAAAAGGGGTGGCGTGCTTGGTGCTGCTTGGTGCAGCCAACGAGGAAGTCGCAGGCAAGGTGCGGCGAGGCGTGCGCGGCACAGTGGGCCAGAAGACCGGTGGAGGCGGCCAAAACACTAGACGCGTTTTGAGCTCCAGAGTCGCTAAATGGGACTCGAACCGAGCGTGTCGATACCTCCTAGCAACAGACACGTACTTCGGAGACGCTTCTCAAAACTCACGTACTTTCAGCAGCTTGTGCAACAAACACGCAGTTTCGCCATTTCTAGTCAAAAAGCACGCAGTTTCCGCATTTTCGTCCTGGCGGGCACGGAAATGCATTTTGGGTATTTTTCATGGTTGGGCTAGTGAGGTACAGTCACTAAGTCACCATTAATAACCTCAAAACGGTTTCAGGAGTGATCTGCATTGAAATATTACAGGAAGTTTGGAGGTTAAAGGTGGGCCTATATTTAACGACAGATCGTTCCTGAAACCGTTTCCAGGTTATCAATGGTGACTTAGTGACTGCACCTCACTAGCACAACCATGAAAGTTACCCAAAATGTATTGCCGTGCCCGCGAGGACGAAAATGCGCAAACTGCGTGCTTTTTGACTAGAAATGGCGAAACTGCGTGTTTGTTGCACAAGCTGCCGAAAGTACGTGAGTTTTGAGAAGCGTGCCCGAAGTACGTGTCTGTTGCTAGGAGGTATCGGTGTGACCCCACCAACGGCTTCCTCGTTCAAGGAGCAATCCATTGGTTGGGTGACACGTCCGGTTCGAGTCCTGTTTAGCGACTGTGGAGCTCAAAACGCGTCTAGAGTTTTGGCCGCCTCCACCGGTCTTCTGGCCCACTGTGCGCGGGACAAGAATGACTTTTCCGTAAAGGGAACGTCTCCGGGCGGCGGCGCGCCGTACGTACGCCGTACAGGTGTCTGGCCGTCGCCGCCGGGATCGCTCGCGCGGCCCCGACGCGGCCCCGCTCCCTGCTTTCGGCACGTTGTTTTCCCTCACCGCGGCGCGCCGGTAGCGCCAAGCATCCCCAACATTTCCATCAAAATATTTTAATACACAAGTTGGGCGGGGCAGGTTGGGAGGTCCCTGTGTGCGTGTGACGTTGATAGATGTCTAAGTTGATTACCCTCCACCCCCGCCCCCGCCTCCCTTTTTGCAGCCCCGGCCGCATTCTCTTCGCGGAGTGCTCCGCCAGACCGGGGAACCTCTAATCCTCGCGGGCTGTTTTCAAGTAGTTCGAGCACGGCGCGCGGGCACGCGCACCGCACCGCGAGGCACATTTTTATTCAATTAGGCAGCTCGTCTACTGACCCCAGCGGGGCCCAGCGGGGCCCCAGAGGGCGAAACACGTTGCGCGCACCCGCGGCTTCGGCGGGGCCCTCGCTTCGAAAAGGCCTCGCACAGCGCGTAAGGGTGCCGAAGGTGTTGTGTGTTGATATAGCACCACCTGGGGGTTCCCGGCCGCACCGCCCCGCCCCACCCCGTGCGGGCATAATAATAGGGAAATGAGTAAGCGTTTGCGTGGCGTGTGGCGGAGTAGATTTACGTGCCGCCTTCCACCCCGCTCCGCCCCACCCCACCCCGCCCCACCCCACCCCACCCCCACCCCACCCCACCCCACCCCACCCCACCCCAAAACTCGCCGTGCCCGCCATTTTTCCCCGCGCGGCCTTCGCCACCTAATTCGATTTGAAATCGCGCGGCTCGTGGCCCATCACTCAGCCCCGAAAAATGAGTCGATTCTAGCAAGGCGGACACAAAGTGAGAGAGAGAGAGAGAGAGAGAGAGAGAGAGAGAGAGAGAGAGAGAGAGAGAGAGAGAGAGAGAGAGAGAGAGAGAGAATCTCTCGCGGCAATCCGGCCGCGTCAAATCAGTGGCATGTGTGCGGTGCTGGCCGTTTGGACGCCGTTTGGACGTATTGGCAGGCGAGGTGCGGCACGGCACGGCACGGCAGGCTCTGGATGGATATAAATTACCCAAATAACGAGGCGGGCTGCGCACTGCAAGCCCGCGTGGCGCTGCTCCGCGCTCTGCAAGGCCGATCTGTCTCTCTCGCACTCGCACCCTGACTTGATGGAGAGAGAGAGAGAGAGAGAGAGAGAGAGAGAGAGAGAGAGAGAGAGAGAGAGAGAGAGAGAGAGAGAGAGAGAGAGAGAGAGAGAGAGAGACCTCAGCCTGCAGCCCTGCCTGCCTGCCGGCTATCAATAGCCAATTCCCGTTTTGCGCCCCCTCCTCCCCGAATGTAGCCGGGGCGGTCGGGGCGCACCCGGGGCACAAGTCGGGGCAGACAGAGTCTGCGGTCAATACCTGCAGGCACGCCGATGAACACGCAAAAAAGAGACGCAAGCATGCTTACGTCATTTTGTTTTCGCAACAAATGGCGCGTAACGCGGCGATTTGGAGGGGTGTGGTGGGTCGCACCGTTTGTGGTGACTCTGTGACACGCGATAAAGCAAAGCCGTGGAGGATCACGTGCTCTCGACTGAATAATGTCCAAAGAACAGAAAAAGGTCACGATGATGTCAAATGATTGGTGACAAGATGACATCATGGCTGACGGTCAAAGTTAGCGTTTTTTGACGTCAATTGCATGTCAAGTGGTATCCTTTTAATGAATATAATATCTTACGATGTGAATTTGACACAAAATACCCAGTCAAATTGTAGTGATGACGGGTCACTGATACAGAGCGTGACTTAATTTTATCAATTTTAGCTCTCTTGACGTCAACATGACCATTTTCTGTTCTCTGGGTAACCACTGGGCTACTAAATGGAGAGTGTCTTCTCCTCGTCGCACTTTGGCGAGAGGGGCGAAGCGGGAAGGTCACCCTTGTCCGCCTTGTGCCTGCGGTGCGCATGCAGTGTGCCGCGCAGTGCCAAGAGGGCCGCGCCGGCCGTGCCCAAGACCCTTGCAAGCCGTGGACACACATTGATAGTCCTGAACAAAGGAGCCTGTGTCCACAGCACTGAGGCGGGGCGGGCGGGGCGGGCGGGGCGGGCGGGGCGGGCGGGGCGTACCGAGGTGAGACGGGGCGTGGCGAGGCGAGGCGGCCGCGGTCGGTCGTGAGCCCCCCCCCCCCTGCCCCGCCACTCCGCGGATGCGTGACTATCAAATGTCCAGCATCGCAGCGGAGGGCAGCGCGGCGTGTTGCGGTTTCGCTCGGTGGGAAGCGGGACAGCGCCGCACCGCGCTGCAGCAGGATGGGTGGTGCTCGGGCGCCCCGCCCCGCCCCGCCCCGCCCCGCCCCGCCCCGCCCCACCCCGCCCGGACCGTCATTAGGGGCTTCGATTGCAAATGTGTTTGGCCAGCACCAGCATCTCCTTTGTCAGGGCAGGAAATGGGCGTGCGGGACGGCCGCGGCCACCGCGTCGTTGTCAAAGTCAGCACCGCCATGTTGACGCCCCCGCCCCGCCCCGCCCCGCCCCGCCCCGCCCCGCCACGCCCCGCCACGCCCCGCCCCCGCGGCGGCCCGTCGGCTCCGCTGATCCGCGAGTACGTACTCGAGTCGAGCCGCGCCGCCCCCCGGGGTGTGAACGGCGTCCTGGCGCCGACACTCGAGGGGCGGTCATGAAATTTTCATGACACGAGTTCTAAAGTCGCCGCCGCCAGCGCGCCAGCCCCGGAGCGCGGTGGCGGCGGCGCCGGCCAACTTGTGCTCGCCGACGGCTTGCCGGCCACTGGACTGCTCGCCCGCGGATCCGTTTTATGTAGGGCAACGCACGGCCGGCGGCGCGTCGCGGCGAGTCGCGGGTTCGAGTACCCCCTCCGGAATACGAGGCGATATTTTCGCCGCGGCCGACGGCAGGAAAGCAGCAGCACCGCCGGTGAGGAGAAGGAGGGCGCCGCGAAGACTAACTGCTTTTTCTCGTCACCTCGTAATAGATCAGGGCAATTTGCCCGGCACTTGACAGCCGCTGTTACGTAGATCGTGCACGATGTAGCGCGGTGGAAGTGTGCACTCGGCAGTCCGCCCAGAGTCATTTCACGCATGGGCGCTTCGCGGCGGGGAAGGGGTGGGGGGAGAGGGGGGGAGGGGGGAAGGGGGCGCTCATGACCCCACAGCAATTAGTGCATGGCGTGTCTCCCTGGGTGTCGGCCAGGCTGCATCTAGTCCACGGCAGCTCATGGGCCTCCGGCGTCGCCGTCTTGTGTGTGTGTGTGTGTGTGTGTGTGTGTGTGTGTGTGTGTGTGTGTGTGTGTGTGTGTGTGTGTGTGTGTGTGTGAGGGGAGGGGGCTTGTGTGTGCGCTGAGCATCCGAGTGGGCGAGACGAATGGAAGCAAGGGAGCGGCAGGGCAGAGAGAAATGAATTTAGAAAACAAAAATTGTCGCGTGTGTCTGGATTAATGGAAATGATGGTCTGGCTCGCGGGGCGGGGCCCGTATATTAGAATAGTGTTCGCCTTAAGGAGGCGC